GCTTGACGTAATGTGAAACTCACAAATTTTGACGTCAAATTTCTCTACGGAGCAGATAGAACTTTGTAATTTTGAGGTAGCTATTAGTGTCGGTGAAAGGGCGGGGTTTGTTTGGGTGGTCAGTGGTCAGTGGGCCGTGTCCTTGAGCAAAGACACGGTAACTCTTAGATCATTCACAGTGGCGACCAGCAGTGACATGTCTGTGAAACTGTTCTATCTACTGAGATATTGAGTATTTGGTGTTCTCTGTATGTATATTTGTGAGTTTAAATAAAATGTATATGTTTGGTGTGATATTGAGCATTTGGTATTCTCTGAATGCATATTTGTGAACTTTAAAGAATGTATAATTATATTTGGTGTAAAATTTAGTATTTCGCATTCTTTGTATTTATATTTGTGAGTTTATATAAAATGTATACATTTGATGCAGGCATTGAGTATTTGGTATTCTCTGTATGTTTATTTGAGATTTTTTTTTTAATATATAGATTTACATTTGATGTGGTATTGAGTATTTGATATTCTCTATATTATTTTTTTATGTATAATTGTGAGTTTTAATAAAACGTATTCATGTTTGTATTTTTACTATTGTAACCCAAATTCCCCCAAAGGGATAAAAAAAAAAGTGTAATAAATTGTATTTTGTTTTATTTTTTTAATGCGCTTTTACGCTCATTTATATTTATGGTAAAGAATAAAGTGAGTTTTAGTGTATATTCTTGTATGTATGTTTGCTATTGTGATTAAACGTCTCCTAAAGGGATTATTGAAAGTGTAATTTTTTTATTTTATCTCTTCTTTCGTTATACGCTTACGGTGAATTACCTACAAATCTCAAGACAGTAGTATATCACGGCCTTCATTGAAAAAAAGGTTGAGGAGGGGGGGGGGAGGAGCTGGGAATGAGAATGTTAGATCAGTAGTATGTAATGGCGTGTGTGTCTGCATATGAGTGTGTGTGTGTGTGTGTGTGTGTCTTTGTGTGTTTGTGTGTATGTGTAAGTGAGTCTGTGTGGCTGTGTGTATACTGTGTGCGAGTTTGTGTGTTTGAGAGTGCGTGTGCTTGTGAGTGTGTGTGTGTGTGTGTGTGTGTGTGTGCCTTTCTGTGTGCATGTATGTGTGTGTTTGTGTGTGAGTGTGAGTGTATATCTGAACGTGTGGGAGTGTGTGTGTGAGTGTGTGTATGAGTGTATGTGTGTATGTGTGTCTGTTTGTATGTATGCGTGTGCGCGTGTTTGTGTACGTGTGTGTATGTGTGTTGGTGTGTGTGTGTATGTGTGTGTGTATGTGTGTGTGTGTGTGTGTGTGTGTGTGTGTGTGTGTGTGTGTGTGAGTGATTATTGAACAAGTAAGGAGAGGGGTGTATGGGGGTGGGAAGAGGATGACAGAACATTGCAGAAGGTCGTTTTTCGTTGTTGTTGATGTGGTTGTTGTTTTTCGTTGTTGTTGTTGTGTTTTTCTGTGTTGTTTTTTGTGGGTTTTTGTTTGTTTGTTTGTTTGTTTTTTGTTGTTTTTATTAAATTTTTTTTTTGGGGGGTGGCGGGGGAGGGGGAGCAATGTTAAAACAAGTTACCAATAACAATATGTCGTTATAATTTGGTATGTCTGAAAGCTTCCACATATTTTGTTTGCTTGATTTAAGTTGTTTTGTTTGTTGGAGTTTTTTTTTTATTGTTTGTTTGTTTGTTTATTTGGGGTGGGGGGTGGGGGAGGGGGTTGTGATTTTTGTTGCATTTTTTTTAGTTTCTGGCTCCCAGTTGGATCCTGAGGCCTACAGGCGATTATTTCCGCTGCACCAATTATTCCCCCATTATCTGTATAGTGGTGGAGGGACAGTGCCAGGGTTCTATTGTATCAGCCATTTCCACATCCACCCACAGCGGGAGGGTCCTCCCCCCGAGAACTTTACCTGTAGGATCGGCGGTGTAGAATGTTTCTCCTTGCAATCCTTTACTGTTTTAAATTGTTCCTGGCTAACATTATCCCCCGGCAGGCCTTTAATTTACTTTCGGATCTTTCGTAATTCCACTTTTAGTCTGTGTGTGTGTGTTTGGGGGCTTATGTTTATTTATCAAATCTGATGAATGATTCATGGTGATGGCGTCGGCTTGATCTCGCACCGCCATCAAACTGATTGAGGGGACGAGGACACGCTTAATCAATGATGAATGTGCACACTGGGCTGATTTGAATTTGAAGAGTTTTAACCAATGTTCGCAACAGACACAGACAATTGGGCGGTTCGTTAAAATGAGACAATTCGCGACCCAGGCCGAAATGCTACTAGAGTAACTCTAGTACATGAGTTGGGTGTTTTTGCTGAGCTGGCATGATTTAGGGAATATTTCGTGAACTCATACGACATAGTTTTACTCGGATGGTGTTATCGTGACTATTATAATAACATTTATTATTGCTCTAAACTATTATAATAAATATTATTAAATTATTATCAGTTAGTAAATCATAATGACAAATACTACAATCCTTATTGTCCTAGCTCTCTACTTCAGCGGTCAAAAACTGTGTTACTTTTTTTTTCAAAGAATGCCTAATGGAATTCTGAGTGCAGACAGGATAACTGGTTCGCTCAACAGTGTTATTTTTTAATTTAAAAAAAACAACAAACAAACATTGCAACTTTTAAGTTCAGCAAGAGAACGATACATTAGCCTGATGTTATGAAGTCTATAAATAGCACATTTAATCTGCCGTGTAAAATTGTAATATTAGATTAAAAGGCAAATAGAGCTTGCCGTTGAACGTGAATTTGCGCAGAACAAATGCTACCTATTATTATTACAATTCGTTGAAATTATTAAATGAGCTTCGTGACAAGGTTTTAAACACAATACAAAAACCTGTAGTTTGGTGACAAAGTCTTCGTTGGTGACCCCCCTCCTCGGCCATACTTAAAGGTATTCAGTCAGATTCCTTACACCCCCTTCCCCCGCCCCCTTTTCCTCTCCATATCCCATTCCAAACACTTTTGATGTTTGGGGCAAAGTTCCTTCTTCAACAAGCACATGCACACACACACACACACACACACACACACACACACACACACACAAACACATACACACATACTCATACAAACATACATTCACACATTCCAATTTTCACATGGGGGGGGGGGCAATAAATCTTTGGTCTGGGTGTAAAGGAATCATGGTAGAGTAATGTAATTTCGCCAGCTTTTAGACAATTTCTTTGGAACACACCAAATTTTCAGGAAAATCGAACAATAAAAAGGCACTTCTAATGTGCGTATTCAATGAAATTATGCACAAAAACGTTGTGTTTGTTTGTTTGCTTGTTTTTTTGCTGAAGCTGTGCCATGGAGCCTGTTGAATATCGCCCAGTTATCAAGTTTATACACACTCAAAAGAAAAATCCCATTCAGTCATTTTTCAGAAAATGGTGCGAGGTAATGGTGACTGTGACATACTGGGTACGACAATTCAAATCTGGATTCATATCGGTGATGGATGAAGTTTGTAAAGGGCGCCCATCCTTTGTGGAACCTGATGAGAATGTATTCGTAATAAAGAAACTGGTTCTACAAGACCGACCTATAAATGTTAAATAGCTCTCCAGTGAAATGAGAATTAGTGTAGGGTCAATTGAAACGATTCTCAACGACCATCGTAACGTGAATAAGGTGTCTGCGTGGTGGGTACCCCATCTCTTGACAACTGAGCAAAACAAGTAGAGAGTTGGGTCTTGCAAAACTCTCCTTCCAATTGAGTCCAATGATACAAATCTTTAAAAATAAAAACATGGTGACTGTGGATGAAACATGGATTTATCATTTTGACCCAGAACCAAAAATATCCTCAATGCAATGGAAAAAACACTTCTTTTCCCTCGACAAAGAAGGCAAAAGTAACATCGTCAAGTGGAAAGGTCATGCTGTCGTGTTTCTGGGATTGTGAAAGTATCATAATGGCTGACTACTTGGAAAATAGAAAATACAGTCATAGGAGACTACTACTCGGGATTGCTGATAAAACTGTGATATCAATTTGGTGAGAAAAAGGCGTGGAAAACCCCGCAATGGGATCCGCCTAATGCATGAGAACTGCCTGCGCACATGGCACAACAGGCAGTCCAGACAGCAGAACAACGCAGCTTTGAAATCCTGCCACCCAGCTTATTCACCAGACCTAGCCCCCCAGACATTTTTCTGTTTCCTAATCTAGAAAAGATCACTCCAAGGACGTCGTTCCATGACAACGAGAACGCAAATGAAACTGTTGAAGAGTGTTAGTGGACCACTGTGGGTTATTTTCTCTCAAGGACTTTTAAAGGTCAAAGAGAGGTGGCAGAAATATGTTTCTCTGTATGGTGACTATGTAGAGAAATAAAAATATGTGTGCAAAGTTACAAAGCTCTATCTTTATTCCCTCATGTTGAACCCCTCTCGTACATACACACATACACATACATACATACACACACATACACGCACACGTACATAATATATAGTATATACATACATACATACATACATACATACATACATACATACATAC